AGGCCATGTCTGTGCAATGAGGAATGGATTAACATGGTGGTTAGTCACGGTTCTTCCTGGACATACCTGAATTAATAGACTGGATTTCAAGATCCTCTCTTACATGCTATTTCTAATGTCAGCACCTTTCCTGGCAAAATAACTTCAGTTGCATGTTGTAAATGGTTTTTTTCTTTCCTCAGCTCTTCACTAGTTCTCATATACTGAAGGAATTTACAGTGTATCCACTCTTCCTTTTTGGTTGGTTGGTGTGTTTGTGGTTTGGGTTTAGATAGCTTGTTTGTTTTAGCAAAAGCTCTGCTTTAAGTGTAACAGTTCTTTCTCTTGAGTTTCCTTTGTCTGAAGAACCTGTATAGGGGTTACATATTTTACAGCTCGTGTTTTTTGTTCAGAGTACCTCAGAGGGTGGCTCATCTCCTAAGCCTTTCATGGCAGAGAGGTATTTAGGAAACCATGTGCCAAAATGTTCTCAGTGCCTGCAATGAGAGTGGGTGTTCCAGAGTTATTAAAACATAATGTCTGGCCTTCGGTAGTGAAAGGGATGTGGGATTGAATACTCGGCATCCAGGTGTTGCTCCCTCATGCTCTAGTCCCCCATCTCTTACAGTGGCAGCTGACTGATCTTTCAGGATGAAGTACTTAGTACCTTCCATGCTTCTGGCTGCTTGCCTAGTTTTTTACCAAAGCAGAAGGATTTTTGGTATAAAACAGCATCTGTTTCCAGATTTGATCTGTCTCTTCAATGAGAGCTGATAATTTTAAATTTCATAGGCATAAATGTAAATACTTTGGATTGTCAGGATAAGTGCCCAGATCTCTGAAATCCAGAAATACTTCACTGTTTTTGTGTCCCTGTGTCATGATTCCCTTATGCTTCACTGCACACTGCATATGAACATTTCCCTTCTGTTTTCTCTAAGCAGGTAGTGCTGCTGCTAATTTCTTGCATCTTCTGTCAAGGGAGACTTTATTTGATAGCAAGCCATGATAACCAGATTTTCTTTCTCCTCAATTAAAAAAAGGGAGGGAAGTGTGTACAATTAAGTGTTTGAAATAGGTGATGTAAATGACATCCCTAGAGCTTAAAAATATTTTTATTCTCTGGAGAAACACATTCTATTTGGTAGCTGTTGAAGGCTTCCTACTGTCCTGCTATTTAGGGAATTAAAAATTTTTCACTGGTTGGTTCAAATTAGAAGAAAAATGTTTAATGAGTCATTCTCATTGTTCGTGAAAGAAACAGCAAAGAAAAAAAACCCTAATGTTTTTTCTTCTCCAGATGTAAAAATCTGTTTTGATAGTGAATGATGTTCTGGGACTGCCTAAACCAGCTAGGGTAAATCCAAGCCAGCACTCCTAGTGATAAATAGATGGGGTACTTTTAAAACACTTGGCGATGGAAGAAAACAAGCTGCATCCATCATTAAACCAAAGGATCTGGGGAGAAACGGTGCAGCTTCAGAAGTAGTACAGATCTTTTATAATAGTAGTCTAGGAAGTTAAAACTGTTTGTTTTCCCTTTCTGTCGAGCACTCCTTTGCATGACTTGTAATTTGTAGGTAGTGTCTTTTGTTTCACTAAGAAAAATATGTTTCTATAATGATAACACATTAGATATTCCTCTGGTTGTGTTATTTCACTACAATTATTAGCTTGTTCGTGTAATGGTTGAGTTGCAAGTAAAGGACTGAAAAATACTATCTCACTTGCATGCAAATTGCTTTTTTTTTCCTGAAGATACTCAGTGTATAAAACATTCTTAGATACTAAATGTTAGTTTCTTAAAGAGACTGCTACAGGTAATCAAAGTTGGCTGAGTTTTCCCCTTGTTGACAACTTGTACAGTTTTTTCTACCATTCTGCATCAGAAATAATATAGTAGGCTGAGACAGCTGATTACATTGGTGGCTTTCCCAAACACTAACTCAGATGACTGAAAATTCTGCTTTCCTTACCAATTCATGTGGGAAGGCTCAATTTTTAAATTCTTGCAGGATGTTAAGGAACAAGCTTGACATGTGAGAGGATTTATGATTAAAAGGAGTGATCCCTTAGAGTAATTGTTTTTCTGATGTTTGTGATATTTTGGGGATTGAACAGATTTCAATTAATAAAGAGGACAATGTGTCGACATCCTGAATGGTCTTTTTTGGGGTAACATAAGCCACTTGTAGATTAAAAAATGAAGTTGTAGAAATTAAGCTACACTTAAGAGTTGAGTTTGAAATGTAAAATGCAAAAAGTCTTAAGTGTCCATCCCTGTCAGTGTTAAAGTTGAGAGTCTGCAATCAAACACGTTCTCATTATTTTAATGCAAGTTATGAACAGATAGTAAGAGCATACACTCCAGTAGGTGAAAATTACTTACTGCTGTGCCATCACTACTTCACGACATTTTAGTTAATTATACTGTCCCATAATGACTTATGACTGTGCACAGAGAGCTGAGATAAAAAGGAGGAATTGTAATGATTTTCAAAAGTGAGACCAAAGAGTATTTCTGTCTAGAGTGGGGGGATAATGCAGTCACTGGATGACCACGGGATTTGTCTTCAGCTGTAAATTAGGGGATTATACAACTCATGTATAGCATTAATTATTAAACAAAAGCAATTTCACAGTTTTATTCATTTATGAAATTTCTGTGAAGAGTGGGAGACTTGCAGTGTCTTCTTTGTTATTCATGATTGCCTCTTTTCTCTTTTTTTGTAACTGCTCTGATGGACATTGCCTGATCTAAAGAAAGCCTCTCCTGTGATGCTTGTCACCAGACCTTTTATGAGTTCTAAAGCAACAACTTGATACTCTGGTAGTAATACAGGTCTTCTGAAGAAAAATGCGTATTTGCTTCATCCTTTATGTTCTGTTTTATCAGTGTTTCTGGTTGAAACTCAGGTGCTGAATATCAGTGGTGCACTATGACAAGCCTATTTTTTGGCAATTCTTTGACTCTAAATAAAGATGCAAAGAGATGTAAATGTTCTTTTTTGTACATAATCAGTTGCTGATTGTAATGAGAAAATACTGCTTTGTAAATTACTTGGTGCCTACCAAGCACAATTATGCTAGTAGATGGTCTGCTGGTCATACGTAATATAGTAGGATGTAAAATCACCAAAAATTTGATTTTTTTCTTATGCTGTCTCTTTAGTTCAATGTATTTTGCATTAGTTTCATCTTCATCTGTTGTGCATCAAGCTATAACAGAAATCCTACTTGCATGCCTGCAGTCAATATAGCAAGTTCTCTTTGTGTATGACTTTGTGTATGACTTTGTGTATGACTTTGTGTATGACATTGTGTATGTCTTTTGAAGATGTGTGTCTGTGATAGTGACAAAGTATTGAGTAATGCTGGTTCCAAAGAAAAAAGGAAGGTAAAGTAAGATACTGGGCATCTTGGGTGGCTTAGTCACTTAGCACAGTGTGCACATTAACACTGAAAACATAAACATAAACAATGCTGGACAGCATCAGATAAATTAAACACAATTACAAGCACTGCCCAAGAGGTTTCCTTCCTGACAGAGCTGCCTGTGCTCCAGCCAGTTCTGCTGCTTGCTTAATGGCTCAGAACTGCTCAGAAAACAAAAAGGACCTTCATAGAAATACCCAACCCTGACTTGATCTGTTCCTCTTAGTGTTTCAGGGTGTTTGCGGAGCACCAGTGTGTCCTGTTGGTGTGTGCTGAGTTTGGGCTGAAGGTAGTTCATGCCCTCGGGGTAAAATGGCACAGTTAGCTGTTCTTGACGTAGTCAGGTCAAGATGGGTGAAGTTTTACTCCAGTTTTGCTTCTTTTGTAAGGGGAACATAGGCTATACCAAAGGTGTGTTGTCCGTGGGCAGTAAGGAGGCATGTGATTGTGGAGAACAGAATAATAATAAATCAATGTCACAGTTGAATGTTCCCAGCTGTACTAATCTTGCATAAATGTATGTACTTGTGAAATGTGTTTTTTCTGGTTTTGAGTTGCTCAGGATTTGCCACAGTCATTCTGGTTTTACAGGCTATGTTATTGGCTCTGTGGGCATGTGTTCACTCTTCATGAAAGAGTTCAGTATGTTATGAAATACTGTGTGTCTTTCTGTATAAACATAGGCCTCCACCTTTCTTCTGTATAATACATTAAAGTACCAAATGTAAGATAAGAAGCTGTCATCCTTTGTTCAATGAAACCAGCTCTTAATTCCAGCTTTCGTTTATTTCATGCCTTGGCTGTAAAGGAAATCTACAGCTTCCAAATTAGTAGGAGTGGTCACTGCTAAAAGGTGAATTACTAATATAATGTACGTATATGTATTATATATGTAATATATATAATTGTTCAGAGATCAGAAACTTTTTGATATTCATTTATTGGTTCTAATTGAGCCAAATGCTCAGCTCAAGTGTGTCATCATTCTTCTAGCTCTAAATACTAAGTTGTAACATTCAGCACAGTAATACAAATATAATTTTTATTAAAAGAAAGCATGAGCCAATATATCAGATATCACTTCTAGACTGTTTAGATTTGGCCTTTTTGGAGTAAAGTGAGTCATAACAGTTAAAGGTGAAAAATAAATCACTAATTAGGTTTTCTTAAATCTATTTTCTTACAAAGTCTAAAAATTTTGAAGGTGGGAGGTTTGCCTGGAAACCACCCATTATTTTCAGCCTTATTTTCAGTCTGTGTTGAAAAAGAACTAAGAAGTGAATCAAACTCTGATGTAATTTGTGAAATGTGTTTTTAGGACTCAGACACACCAATGAGCTAGAGCAGATCTTGTGCTAGGTAAAACTTAGTGAACGATCAGTCAATGGCAAAAAATGTGCAAAGCAAGCACATTAGGAAACATGAAAAATAATGGCATTTTCATTTCATGTGATCACAGGGAAACCTGATTAAAACCTGGTTGTTTGCATTTGTGTTTATCACAGTATGAATAGATTTCTTTTTTCTTTTCCTTTCAAGTGCAAACTGAGTTTACTGTTTAACACTTACACTTTTTATCTTTGCAGTGTGCCGGGAAGACTCATACCAGTCAATAGTGTCATGTGCTGCTGTAGTACTCACCCCTGTGGAGACCACAGTGGAAACAAGAAAAAAAGAACAGATGATAATGCCTGATGTGTCCAAACAGTGAGTTATTCAAATAACACGATCTTTTACAAGTGCAATTTTAACACCAGGCCAGATTCCTTCTCATGGATATACACCCTCGTTTCTCTTTCATCTGGGCTTCCATAGGTGTTTCCAAAAGTAGAAACTGGCCTGAGGCTAAGCTGCTGCTCTTGTTCATTAGCCTACATTTTTTTTCCCAAGACTTTTGGCAATGACATATATAGGGGGAATGGGCCTTTATATGCCAAGAAACTGACTTTTAAACAGGTTTAATAAGGTGATTCTTTTTGTTTAAATAGTCCTTTCATTCTTGCAAGTAGTTGATTTTTATAAAGAAGCTGATTTGTATATGCTCAGCTCATCTGCTATATTTCAGTGTTTTCCAGTGACCATTTTACCTCTGTGTGGCAAAAGAGGCATCTTCAAAAGCGTGGTAATGCGTTCTTCTAGGGAAATTTTGTTTACTTAATTACAATGTATTTTGGTATCTTGCATTAGATGAAAATCAGAGTGTGCAGTAACATTTGCCTTGCAATACCAAGCAGGGTGGTTATTTCTTAATGACTGAGTCCTTGGAGAATAAAAATAATTTTGTTTTCATGAAAAGAAAGAAAGCACAATTGTAAGGCTTTATCACAACACAAACTTGAGGTCTGTGCCTTTTCAAGTGTGGAAGGTATTAAAAATATGACAATGGATAGCATCATTCCTGTTCATTTATGCTTAGTTTTCTGCTTCTCTTGGTATGCACAATTTTAGCTGTAAAATTGTCTGTGGAGTTCTGGCTTGCATGCCTATTACTGTAAGAAAATTAAAACATCCCCAAAATCCCTTGAACATCCAAACCACCACTGGTGGATTAGAGTAGACTAGATGGGTTGTGATCTTGCTACAGATCTATGACTTAGATCTGTATCTGGCTGTGGTATCTTTTTCAATGTGGAGATAAACCTGTTTCATCTAGACTACCTGTATTTAAAATTTAACACAGGATGTTACCTATTGTCTGGGTATTACTGCAAGGGCCTTATGTTTGAAATGCTGTGGGCATGTAATTGTTGTAGTGCTTCTGTTGTGTGGTTCTCTGAACACCAAGAGATTGGAAAGGCAATGGACTTTAAAATACTGTGCTGAAATCCAGAATAATCTTTCTGGCTAGCTCAAAGCAGCATAGAATATTTTTTGTTGCCTTCACTAAAAGGCAAACTCACACTGTTGTTTGCTTGGCTCTTTCATTTACTGTGATGAGGTTCTCTTATGAATTCAAAGTAAGAAACTCTGATATCTGTTTAGCATGTGCTGAATGAAGCTACCTCCCAGATTTTTGGCATGTTTTGGTTTTTATTTATTTTTTTTTAAAACTTGATTAGTGTTGTCTTCTGAGAACACAGACCTAACTTTTCCTAAGTACTCAGAGGTCTCAGAAGCATGCTCTAACCTCTTCCACTCTTCCAATACTAATGTTTAAAAATACGACCTGGAATTCTATCAATAAGGAACAAGATTGTGCTTAAACAGATTAAATGTGTTTGAATTTCTCCATATGAAACTGTATCAGTGCATAAGTGTCTTTAAGCCAACATTTCTGACAAGTATATTTGAAATGAAACAGAACCATCTTGCTGGAAAAAGTTTGCAACTGGAATTTGGTAAATTTTGTAGAAACCTTCAAAGTAATTATAGGGAGGTGAAAGCAGCCTCAGGAAAATTCCCAGCATTATGAATGAAATATCAGCACACTGGTCTTGCATTTCACCATGTGCTTTCTACATGCAGATAGCTTTCTTAATATCCAGTTAATGGAAGCAAAACAGGTCCTAATTCCTGTGTCTACGTGTCATCTGTCTCCAGTGCAAATGTGCCCTTGGCATTTGTTGAATTCCATTGACTGGATTGCAGACTCCATGTATGAGCTGGTCTGCACGTGTGGATTGTACTCAATTCATGTGGAAAACATTGATGCCTTGATTTTTTATACTTATCTTTGTGTACCTACATAGTTTGGACTTGCATGTCCAAAAGTTGTGGCTATCGCAGAGGGCTGAGCAGTAGCCAGCCATTGAGGTCCTGCAGGGAGAATTTTCTGCCTTCAGGCCCTACAGAGACAGAGTATGTTCAGAATAACTAATGCTTGCTAAAGCTACATAAGAAAGTCTGTAATTCAAACCAGATAAAATGCATATTAATGATGATAAAATGTTAAAGAGTTACAAATAGCTAAAAATAATTCTCTTGTATGGCACAGTAAAATTACGTCCAAGACATTCAGGACATAAGAAGCTGTGAAAACTGGGCAGAGAAAAAAAAAGAAAAAGCTTTTATTGCTACTTGTATAATATTTGATTAATGATGTTATTTTGTTTTAGAAAGAAACTGTTTAGTGGCTTTAAATAATGTATCTGCCTAATGTATTTTTTTTGTAAGTGGCAAATGGTGCCAGAAGTGGTAGCAGCAAATCTTAATGAGATTTTAAGTGTCTGTGGTAAGTTCTTATCAGGATTTCAGGAGTGAAGGGCCGATTCCCTCCCCCCACCCTGTATTTTTCTTGGAAGCTCAAACCATTTCATTGGGGAGTAATGTCATAGTGATACCCAGGTAATTGCTGACTTGTTGCTTGTGCACTGGGCAAAATTCCTACCTCAGTTGTTACCAGGAATGGATTTGGCAAGAGGAAGAGCGTGCCTTTGTGGTTTTTGTCTTTCCTCTCCACAACAGGCATTGAGGCAGAAAAATCAATGGTCAGTGTGAGGTTAGGGTGACAAACAGGGAGTGTGAGCTCTTCCTTATTTTATTTCTCAGTCCTCCACTTTGTCTAGGGTGTTGCATTAGCTTTGCAATATTTTGTAGGAATACAAGCCTTAACAACCTCTGTTGTCATAATAGCTCAAGTTACTGAGGCCTCTTTGTGTTGCCATAGTGATACATCAGTCAGTTGTTCTCAAAGGTGCCCAGATGCTAAAACAATTGGAACATTTTGAACAGTGAATTCTGCTTACAGAGTCCTAATTTTAGTCCTTCCTATCTGAACTGTAATATAAATAAATCAGCTGCTGGTATAGAGCAATGGCATGAGGAATCCTCACTTCAATTTCAAGTTCTTACAAGGCAGCATGGGAGGGAATGCATGGCCAGGGAACTGTGTGTGTTATGCTTTACATTAATTTAGCTTCTGCTTCACTGGGCAAACTCTAGGGCTGAAAGGTCAGCCTACAGGGGGCAGTGTGGAAAAAGAAGTGTCTACAGACACAGGGGACTTGGAGCAGACAGTGTCATAGGTAATCATGGAAAACCATTCATGTGCTACTAGAGCATGAAAGAAGTATAGTGAAGTTTAAGTGCACCGTTTTTTAATCAGATGTAAAGTTAAGCTGATAGTTGTATACTTCATTTGATGTGTTTCTTTGGATATGACTGCCCTGCAGTTCAGAATAGTGATGGCAACATGTAGCCCTCTGAGCTGGCTAATTTAAAGGTGGTTTGTGCGTTAGTACTTCAGCTGCTGTCATATTTCCGATTTTGATTTTTAGGTGAAGATATTATTTGCTGTTGAAGTGTTCTTAGAGCTACAGATCTTGTTATGTCATGAAGCAGACACAGTAATTTGACAGTTCTTTTTCATGCCATAAATATTTTCCTGAGTTTTAGGAGAGATTTACAGATGAAGAGCCTACAAAAATGATAGGATGAGTTCAATGTTTTTAAACTGAAAGAAGATAAATTCAGACTGGATCTAAGGAAGGAGGCTTTCACAGTGAGGATGGTGAAACACTGGAGCACGTTGCCCAGAGAAGTTGTGGATTCCCCATCCCTGGAAACATTTAAGGGGTGTTGGATGGGTGTCTGAGCAACCGGTTCTAGCTGAAGGTTATTGCAGAAGGGTTGGATAAGATGGCCTTTAAAAGTTCCTTCCAACTCAAACACAGTCAGTGATTTTATGATTCTAAATGTCACTGATCATTTGACAGTTCTCAGACTCTTAAGATCAAGTTGGATTTTTTCTGGTAAATGCCTGAATGAGCCTATGTAGTGATATTTTCAATATTCTGTCTGTGCCAAAGCTGTTTCACTTGTTTCTTGCAAATGTACTTACATGAGCAAGGTTATTAAGTGTGAGATCAAATGCAGGAGAAAGCTTCTTGAAATCACAGTGACTACCTGGGTGCTTGCTGGTGGAAACAGGCTGCTAAGGGGGAGAGTTACAGCCCTAATGCCATTCTGTGCTGCACTCTTCAGTGCAGATGCTAACCCAGGACTTTGGTACTGATACTGACTGGAATCTAACAAGATTTTGGTGCCTATATAGTCTGAATTTATTAGCTGCAGTAAGCATGTTCCAAAATTCAGGATGTGTTTTTCCTTTCTCAGCATTTCAAGTTGTAGGTATATAATTGGTGCAGCAGAAGACTGGTAATCTTTTTTGACTCTTGAAGCATTGCCTAATTCCTTTCAAAAGAAGTTCAAACCAAGCTGATTATGTATTGTTCTTCACTTAATCCGTTGTGGATTTTCTTTTCATTTTGTTCACTATATATACCCAGGCAAGATTTTCTTTCCCTTCAAAGCAGCAGTGATCTTACATTACTTCTGTGATTTTTGATGCTTCTGTTATGATCCTGTTAGTGAAAAATGGCTCTGCCTGAATTAAGGTCTAAAGGGGTTGAGATGATACCAGCAATATGTGTACATGCTTCTCCACAGTAGGCAAAAATGGGATCCTTTGTGTCGATGTATTACATAGGATGTTCCAGGCCTGGAGCCAGGCCACCCTGCCACTCGATCCTCCATGGCAAAGTCCTTCTGCGGCCTTAAAATCACATTTGCCTGTCTCAAAGGCCATTTAAGTCCTTACAGCCCTGCAGTGGTGATGTGAAGGGTGGTCTCTAAAGCAGCGAGGTTGTCAGGCAGTGGCCTCCACATCGTGATTGCTGTCTGCTCTGGCAGCCCTTTCAAAAAGGCATCTTTCAGTGGTGTGAAACAGGAATGCTTTTCACACTTGTTTGGAAAAGCAGATAAAAGAT